GAGGGGACAGGGCCGGCCCCTGGCCGCCACCACGGCTGAGCCGCCGCCCTGCCACACCTGCTCCGAACCTCACCAGTTCGGCTCTCTAAAAAACCACCTCCAGCCATCCTTTGTTGCAGAGGCACATACCCAAAAACCGGCACCAAGGGATGGCAAGACACCTTGTTCTCTTTCTCTTTTTGTTCTTTGTCTTTTTCTTACTCCTTTTTCTTTTTCTTATTTTTATTTTTATTTTTATTTTTATTTTTATTTTTATTTTTATTTTTAATTTTAATTTTAATTTTAATTTTAATTTTAATTTTAATTTTAATTTTAATTTTAATTTTTTATTATTTTTTATTTTTTATTTTTATTTTTCTCCTTTTTTTTTCTTTCTTCTCCTTTACCATTTCCTTTTTCTTTTCCTTTTTATTTTTCCTTTTCTTTCTCTTTTTCATTTTCCTTTCTATATTTTCCTTTTTTTCCCTTTTTATCTTTGGCAGTTCATTAGATTGTAAGCAGGGTCAGACGTGAAACCCTTTTTTTTCTGGTTTGTTGTTGTGGTTAAGAAAAAAGATGGATTGATGAACGGATGTTCACGTTAGGCATTCTCTTAAGGGAACCGTAGCAATTAAAGCTCTGAGGATGCACAGACTGCAGTCAAAATATATCAAATATCATTTTGAGTGATTAATGCAGTTTGCCTATGGTTCCTGTTGCCCAAATGGCATGAACCTGTATTGAGGGCAGTGGGCAGGGTTTTAGGTTGGATGTTAGGAAAAGGTTCTTCCCCAAAAGGGTGTTTGGGCACTGGAACAGGCTCTCCAGGGAAATGTTCACAGGGGCCCAAAGCTTGCCAGAATTCAAAGAGCATTTGGACGATGCTCTGAGAGGCACAGGGTGGGACTGTGCAAGGGCTGGCAGCTGGACTCAGTCCTTGCGGGTGCATTTCACATCTGGATATTCTGTGAAACAAAGTAGAGTAGGACCCTCCATCTCTCACCACTATTTCTCGGCAGTTCTGAAATGCCAGAAGTCAATAAAAAAAAACAACAGATAAGGCAAATATATGTTGTGCTTCCAAAACTGCGTGTACTCAGCACCCAAAGTTATCTGGCCTTCGCGTGTGCTGCTGTGGTATCTGTTGTTATTGCTGCACCAAAAACAGGTCCCACAAAAGCAGCTGGATGCACGGACCCCAGATTCGGGAGGGTTTTGTTGATATTCCCTGTTTGGGACGCTATCAGGGCTGTGAATTGGGTCAGCATCCACGAGCTGTCGGCTCCTCGGAGCTGCCGTCTGTGCCGGAGGATGGGCTGGCAGGGTCCTTTCCTCCCGGCCTCCGAGGGACGCTAAGCGGGCTCTTGTGCAATCCCGAAGGAGCGTGTGTTTGCGTGGGGGAGAGGGGTGAGCTGCCGGAGGCGATATAAGGCACACACGGGGAGGCACGGAGCAGCCCCGGCTGTGCCGACCCACCTGTGAGGGGAAGGAGCCGGGGCAGCGGTGGATGGAGGAGCGGACAGCGGCCTGGCCATGGTAAGCAGGAGGAGGATGAAGTGGTGGGATCTCTCAGGATTGCTGCAGTGGGCGAGGAGCAGACGGGGAATGAGCTCTTCTTGTCCAGCAGCCTGGCGGTCACAGCCGCTCCGGGACGGCGGAGGGGGTGTGGGTGAGCTGAGTGACTTTAGGCACTAAAGCTGAGTGAGCTGAGGGGCTTTAGGCACTGGCTTTGCCCTGCTCTCAGAGCACTGACAGAACATTTCCCAGCCACCAGCCCTGGCCAACTCACATCTGCATCTCTGATAAGGAGTATCTGGTGTCCAGGACTAATCCAGCACTGTGCCAGTAATTTCCCTAAAGAAATGCATTATCTGAACCAACAGAAGAGATTGACTCAATCTGTGTCTTTTTGGCATTAATTTTAGTCGTGTTCAAGGCTTTGGGTTTGTTTTATTATCCCATTGTCTCCTTGTTATGGATATGATTTACTGGAACAGTGAGGATCCTTTTGCAAATCCTAACTCTTCAAAAGAACTGTAGTAGGAAGAGGGTAACTCTTTTTCTCTTTGGGGAGCTCAGACTGATGCCTCAGCTGGGCAGTTTTACTCAAATGGCCACTGAAATGTGGCTTTATCACTGTCAGCACATCCCTGTGGGTCCCAGGGCCGGTTTCTCCCACCTCCTTTCTGGAATAGCTACCTAAATTCAGGATAGTGTTTGACCCTGATGAGAGGAGGCTGATCTGGCCCTTTGGGGTGGGAAATTACTTTGGGCCATAGAACCTAAGAAAAACAGTACAGAAAGCACCCCTGCTTGAGGACTCAGCCTTTCTGAATGACTGCAAACGTCTCCAGTGAGCATGATAACAAATCTGAGTTATTCAGAGCCTGCTTGTTTTTCCAGGAAAGGATTGTGAGATGTTTGCTGCTGCTCTCTGTGCTCTGCCTGGCTGGCTGTGAAGGCAACAAGAGTGAGTCTCCCCATGCTCTGTCCCTGCTGGGTCATGGATGGGTAGGATGGAAAGGAAAGGTCAAACCTTCACCTGATCCATGTTCAAGTTCCTCCTTCAGGGTGCTGCTGAAGGCAGCTAAGGAGGAACAATGGAATAGGGCTCAGTGAGGCAGGAACTGGGGTCCAGGAGCCAGCAAAATAGGCAGGAACTGCAGCAGGCTGTCCACCTCAGCCAGAAAGGGTGTGTAACCCATGGAAACAAGCAAAGGTGCTGCAATGTGCCACCGTGCTCCTCGGTGACAGTGACAGACCCCATAGCTCAGATTGCAGCCAGGCTGAGGAGGTCTCACAGCCTCCCAGCAAGCTGAGGCAGTAGATTCATCCTCAGATGTGTCTGCTCTGGCTCTAGGCAAGGATCTCAGCCTTTGAGAGCTATGCAGAGCTTCCTGCAGTGGGGTGAGTTCTCAAAACTCTCATCAGGGAGATATTCTTGCTGCATTTCATCTTTCTTGCCTTTCCTTTGCCGCAGGTGAGCTGGCAAGCACCCATGGCCTGAGGCCAGAGGTTGCCCTCCGTGTCAAGAGGAGCCCAGATGCCTGCCTGCCAAACCCGTGCCAGCACCAGGGGCAGTGCCAGGTGACTGTGGACAGACCAGTTTGCAGCTGCAAGCCAGGCTTCACAGGGGAATTCTGCCAAGGTAGGGCTGGGAATGCTGGTGAGCCCTCCCCAGCCTGTCCATGGGCACCAGAGGGAAGGGTGATGGGCACAGTGCACTGGTGTTCCCATTGCTCTCCACTCCTGGAGCACATCCCACACCTGGTTCAGGTGCATTCCACACCACTACAACCATATCCTGGCTACATGCTGGTACAAGACAAAGCCACAGGCCATTTTCTTCTCCCCCAAAAGCCTTAATTCCTTGGCTGTGCCGTGGTGTAGCAGGGCATACTGCAGGGCACAGTTTCAGAACAAGCACGTGCACCCTGGCACAGACACAGTGAAGCCCCTTCCACACACTGGCCAAAAACTGTGTCTTCTTCCTCTGAAGGAGAGGGTCCCTGTCCCTCTGGTGCCCTAGACAGACTGTGGGGGCTGTGTGGATATCCCTCCAAAGGGACCAGACTGTCTTTTGCCCAGTGTCTCTGAAGAGCCCTACAGCAGCCTGCACCAAGGCTGGGCCGAGAGGCTCCTGAGCTCAGTGGGACTGTGCCACCCTCCAGCTGGCCTAGGGCTCCCTTACTGCTATTGCAGATGGCTTTTTCCCCCCAGATATGGTACTGAAGTTGGCCTGTGAGGAAGAGCACATGAAGATGATGGTGAGGAAGGAAGTGTTTGAGCTCTTGAAAATCCCGCTGGAGCTTGTCCACTTGAAGAACCAGGCATGCAAGGTCTCAGAGAGGGAAGAAGAGGGTGAGCTGTTTTTTGCAGCCACTCTCACAGGTGAAAACCACACTGCCTGTGGATCAGTAATCCAGGTGAGGATCCATAGCTCTGAAGCCAGGAGAGGAGCAGACATGGTGGGGTGGGACAGCAAAGGGCAACCCCAAAGACTTCTGCTTTTATATCTGGGTGCTGAAAAGTTCTCGTTCCCCTTGAAAGTCTTCCCTGAGGATGTCAGAAAGCTCTTCTGCCTCCACCAAATCCCTGCTGGCAGCACATTTTGTCTTATTTAAGAGATCTTGGAAGTCTCATTTGCTGTTAACAGTCCTCAGGTTTCTGGAGACATCCTCTGAACTCTGCAGCCCTGTCCCCTTGGTCCCTGACTTGCTTCATGGAGCAGGAAAGGTGCAGATGAAGTGGTGCTCCAGCTCTGCATTGCACAGAAGAGCCCTGTGCTCACTGTATGCCTGTGCCAGCAGCCCCCAGACACAAGCTGAAACCCCAGCAGATATCCAGGCATGGAGCAACTATAGCTGAGTTTCACCTTCTGAACTCGCAGCTCTGTGTATGGCTTCAGTCATGGTCTGGAGACTTAATTTCTGTGTCATTCCAGCAAAACAGTTCCCATGTCTCGTACTCCAACATCATCAAGTCAGAGCAGGAGGCCCACAGGGCCACGATCTCTCGGAGTTTTCAGCTGGAGGTGCACTTCTCCTGCATCTACGCCTATGAGCAGGTTGTGAGACTGCCCTTCACTCTCACTGCTGTTGACAAGTGAGTGTCCCATTTCACCTTGCTGCTGACATGGTGTCTTTGAGCTTGGAGAAAAGTAGATTCAGTGAGACAATTTGCAAAGGCCCTGGGGAACCTCCTTGTTCTGTTTGTGAGCCCTCGTCCTGTCCTTTCCTCTCAGGCTGGTGCAGTTTGTGGTCAGAGAAGGACACTTCAATGTCAGCATGAGACTGTACAAGTCCCCCTCCTACCTGGAGCCTTATCCCCTGCCAAGTGTGGCTGTCCCCATCATGGACACACTCTATGTCCTGCTGAAATTAGAAGGGCAGCACCAGCTCAAGTACTTCCTGCTGAGTGTTTTGGAATGCTGGGCCACACCGAGCACAGATCCACACCAGGATGTGCAGCACAAGCTCATTGAGCAGGGGTGAGCAGAGTGTCCCCAGCACCCCCAGCCTCCTTGCACCACAGTGTGTCAAGGACTGAGACAGAAATAGGCCTGCAGCCAGTCCCTGTGGGATGTGGTGTCCCAGGCTGGGGTGCTCCACCTTGTTTGCCACCCACTGATCCAGCCCTCATGTCCCAGGTGTCCCCATGACGAGACGGTGACCTATCTGAATGCCATTGGAGAGAGCACTAGTGCCAAGTTCAGCTTCCAGATGTTTCAGTTTGTTGGTTACCCTGAGGTGTTCCTGCACTGCCGTGTCCAGCTCTGTCTTCCTGACAGCCCAGAGCGCTGTGCCAAGGTGAGCTCCCTTGGTGGTGTGCACCCTGCCCTGGGTGGGTGTGGGGCCTCCCTTCACTAGCTCTGCCTGGAGAAGAGGCTCTGCTCCGGTTTTGGGTGCCTCACAAAATAAACACCTCCAGAATCAGGAGCTCAGCCCAGCGCCCTGAACCAAAGGTACGAGGGCCTGAACCCACCAGAGACATTTCCCTCTTCCCTGGGAAAGGAAGGGAGATCTACAGGATGGCCCCTACAGGATGGCCCCAGTGCAGGGTGCAGGGTGCCCTCCCATCACCTTTCCTTTGGCTTTGTTGACAGCAATGCCCCGGGCACTGGAGGAACAGGCGGGCACTGGCAGATGATTACAATAGGATTGTCTCCTATGGGCCCATCCTCCTGCTGGCTGCTCCTTCCTCGGGAGCAGAGACCCATCATTCCAGCACGGACCAGCAGGGTACGTATGTCCTCCTGAGCACCGAGGTCAGCCCAGGAGATCCAAGCAGGATCCTCAGGAGGAGGGCTGGGGGCAAGCCCACCTACAGCACGGCTCAGAGCAGGCATGCATGCTGAGCCGTGGGCAGCAGGGGTGGGTGGAGGCCATTTGAGGTGCCCAGGTCCTGTTTGTGCCCCCAGCTCCTGCCCATCACAGGAGATGACCTCCCTGAATCTATCCCCAGTCAGGAGATGCCTCACCAGGGCTCAGAGCTGGCTCAGGGGACACAGATACAAAATCAATCTCTCCTCTTTGGCAGGACACAGCCCATGGCTCTCCAGGGCCCTCGTTCCGCTGTGTGTGCTCGCTGTGCTCTCCGTGGCTGCTGCGGCCGTCAGCGTGGGGCGGCGAATGGTTTAGGAAACAGCTGTTTCCCAATAAATGTGACAGCAGCAGAGAGGCATTGCTGTGTCTTTATGGGTGTTTTGGGGAAGAGGATAATGGTTGGATGCAAGCAGTGCTTGAAGGATGAGGTGCATCACAGTGTTTCAGTTCCCTGAAACACATCTCTTGGACCTTCTCCCCTCTGGGCCCGTGGTCTCTAAACTCAGAGTATGTATCCAGGGATGGGAGAGTCCTTCCTCCTGCTTCCCCTCTTCCCCACAGAGTCATCCTGGTGTGTGGGGAGATGGAAGTACCCCACTCTAGATACCTGCCCTACCAAAGCTGGTCTTTGCCTGGTTCTGTGCCACACAAATGCAGTGTTAGCAGAGAAAGGGCTGCTTTGTGCAGGCACACGTGTGTGTGCACCCATCCATAGTGATTTCTCTCCCCATTCATGACGTTTCTATTTTCATTCATGACAAATTGCCAGCAAGACTTTTCCCATTGATACGTCTCTAATATAAAGCAAATAACAAACAATGTTGTAGGTATTAAAGACCAAATTCACAGTGCTCAAACAGCTGGCAGGGATTTAATACCAAAACACAGATCAGGAGAGGACAGCAGTTGCCCTGCAAGGCAGCTGTATGTGCATTTTGGCTAGAGAACAATGTCCATGAGGGAATTGCTGCTGACCCCAGAGGCTGTTTTGCAGGAAGAACATGCAGCAGATCTCTGCCAGAGAGCAAGGAGATGTTTTGCAAAGAAGCTCATGGGTTTCCTCTTCTTTTTGCTGATTTCCAGACGCAAAACCTCCCCCATCTGGGCTGGAGCAAGTCAATCCTCTCCCTCCAGTGGCAGGAAATTCACTGCCAGGCTGGTTCAGCACCAAAAGCCAGCTCTAGCAGGGGGGGTTGGCTCCATCATGGTGAAGGCAGGTGCTTTGTGGGCTTCCTCCTTGTCCCCTGGGGAATGAGATCAGGGGCACCTCAAGACCATGGAACTGCAGCCTGGAGGGGCTTTGCAGAAGCATCATCTCTGGAGCTCCATGCCCAGGGCAGCCCACCAGGAATGAAAGGGACAAAGCAAAGAGCTCTGCTGAGGTGGATCATGCCCACTGAAAGGTAAACTGAGGCATGGTTAACTGATGTCTCCCTCAGTGAGGAAGCTGCATCTGCCAGGATGAAAGATTGCTCTCAGTGGATGCAGGAGCAGGCAGGAAGAGAGGCCCAGCCAGGAGCTAGTCCTGGGAGGCTGTGGTGGTTTTGTCATGTCTGATGATGTTGGAGAGGGAACCAGTGGCCTGCTTTGTCTTTGGGTAGTAGAGGACAACCAACCAGATGAATATGAATATTCCTGCAGGGAAAGGAAGACAAACACTCAGCAGCAGCAGGACACAATAGGCAACATCTTGCCAGGATGCTAATGACACTTTCCTTCTGCTTCCAGGGGATTCCCTCAGCTCACTCCTGCCCCTCCCCTTCCTTCACATGAACCATTTGGCTGGAACATGCCCTGAGTGGATAATGTCCCTAGTCCTCTGCTAAGGAATGGCTTTATTGGAGGAAAACCACCACAGGTCAAGTGGGTGTAATTGGGAGCCATGAGCAGCTCCATGCAGGTGGTTGGGACCTGCTGCTTGATGTGCCCTGACAAAAGGAAGGGCATGACAGTGCTGGGAAGACACTGGTGCCTTGGGATCCCTGGTCAACCCACAACCAGGCTGGTTCCTGCCTCCTCCATCTTCCCCACCCAAGCCCAGGGAACCCAGCTCCGAGTGAGTGCTGACCTTGGAGAGAGTTGAGGACGGTGAAGAGGTAGAGCACAGGTGTGGAGGAGATGCCATAGGTGAGGAATGCCAGGGCCCAAGTGGCTCCCAGCAGGCAGAAGAGCCCTGCTGCCACCAGAGCCACCTTCCAGGGCTTATGGTATCCCTGCACTGCCCCGGTGCCCTGCAAGCTGCAGCTCTTCTGGGTCACCACCCCGAAGACAGCCATGTTAAAGAGGAAGATGAGGCCAAAGTAGCCACAGTTGGTGATGTAATGGACCAGAAGATGTTTGGAAGTGATCCAGCACCTGAAAAGAGACAATTGTGGTGCCTCCAGCAGCCCTGCAAGCCTGAGCAGCACCCATGGGAGCCATCCCCTGGGGGGATTTTCCAAGGCCGGGTGAAGCAGGGGGACAGGGGTGCATGTCTGCACCAGTTTCTCAGCTGGGAGGGAGCCTGGACAAGTTCCAGGTGGACCTTGGACATCCCCCCATGACCTGGAGGGCTGCAGGCCCTGAGGAGACTCAGCATGAGAGGTGGGGGTGGCTGATGTGTTGCAATCACAATTAAGGAAGCAGAAGCATGGTGCAAAGCTGAACCAGATGGGTGCAATCCCTGACCACTGCACTTCTGGCAGGACTGAGCTACCCCTCCCTGTGCCAAAGGGCCACCTGAGCCTGTGGACAGTGGCACACGCACAGGTGGGCTACGACCTGCTGGTCCGTGGTCTGGATGCTGTATTCTCCATAGGTGCCAATAACTCCTGCCACTCCCACCACGAGAACAGGGAGGCCTGGAAGAAGTGAGACACAATCACAGAATTGTTTAAGGTGGAAAAGACCTCTAATGTCATCAAGTCCAGCCACTAACTCAGCACTGCCACATTCACCACTAAACCATGTCCCCATGTGCCACATCCACACATCTCTGAACACTTCCAGAGCTGGTATCTCCACCACTGTCCAGGGCACCCTGTTCCAGTATCTAACCACCCTTTGAGTGAAGAAATTTTCCCCATTATCCAATCCAAACCTCCCACTGCCCCTCTCACCCCCGCTCTCATCCAGGCTGGTGGTGCTCACCCCAGCCAAGCAGGCTCAGCTTTGCCAGGTACCGGGGGATGTAGGTGCCGAGGACCTTGACAAAGAGCAGGTAGAGCTGACAGCCCTCCAGCGCCGTCCAGGTGAAGCAGCAGAGCAGGCAGTAGTGGGTGACCCCCCCCAGGACCCTGCAGCTGCTTGGGTGGGTCCTGCCTGAGAGCCCAGTGTTGAGCAGGAAGGCCAGGTTGAGGAGGAACAGGCTGCCCACGAGGTTCACGTGCAGCCCCAGGTTGATGCGCACGGTCTCCTCAAACCTGAACCTGTACCTGAGTGTCCCCACAGGGACCAGGAAGGGCAGGGGTCACAGGTGAGCAGGGCTGTGCTGTGCCACAGCAGGTCTGTGCAGAGGCACTGCCATTGCCTCATCTCTGCCAGCCTGACAAGCCCCACAGAGCTGCTGGCACACCCCACCTTATGAAGATGCAGAAGGCCATGGTGAAGATGGAGAAAGCCATGGCTACTGCACAGCCAGCGGTGGCAACAGCCATCAAAGCTTTTGCTGTGGAGCCATCCAGAGCTGGGTTCTGCCAAACATGCAGAAGTTGGGTTAGACAGGCCCTGGACCAGCGTAGAAAACCTGACTGCAGCTACCAGAGCCATGGGGCTGATAACCCCAGAGGGCTGCTGCAGAGACCCCATACCAGCCCCCAGAAGATCTTCAGGAGAAGCAGGGCAGTGGTGGCTCAGAGGAGATGCTCTGAGGTGGGGTGAGGTGTGGGTGAAGTAGACCACCATGAGCACCCTCCTAGGAGTCTCCACCAGGAAATGGGATCTCAAGCCTTGCTGTGCCAGAGCCTGCACAAGGCTGGGGCTTTCTCCAGCCTGTCCTGCTCTGCTGACCTTCTGCTGCCCTCCTGAGCTGGGGCTGGGCTTGGTTTTGGGACTTTGGCTTGCCTGAGAAGAGCTATAATTGTCCCTGTGGGGCTACTCATGACACCCAAGGGGCCACAAAAGCAGGCAGGCAGCACTGCCAGGGCACAAGCAGGAAGGGGGGATCATCACCAGGAGGAGGGTGAAGAAGGTGAGATGGTCACAGGAGCAGACTGTCCTCTTGTCCCCGGGCTGTGTGACACATCCACTGCTGCCCCAGCCCCCTGCCCGCCCTGCAACAGGCACGGGGGAAGGGCTGTGAGTGCTGGTACAGCCCCTGTGCCCAGCCCCACACCTGCCCCGACCAGGCTGTACCTTTGCTGGCATCCCAGAAGACGCACTGTGGGGTGACACCCTGCGGTGGGGGACAGCAGCATCAGCCAGTGCCACGGGGAGAGGCACAGGAGGGGAGACAGAGGGCAGGCAGGGCTGACTTACTTGGGGCAGCTCCCCGTGGGTGAACGTGAGCTGCACAGGGTCCTGCAGCCCCGAGATGCTGCTCTCCCCCACTGTGATGCCCACCACGGTGTTGTCCAAGACCTGTGCTGTCTGGTTGACTTCCTGTGGAGGGGAAACGCTGCGAGAGCTGAGCTGGAGGGTACCGAGTGCTGGTGGCAGCATGAGGGATGCTGGCAGTGCCAGCCTGTACCTTGAACATGCCAAGCTGCTGGATATTGAGGACTGTCACCACCACACGCACTGTTTGGCTACTCAGGGACCGGAATATCTCCCTGGGGAGGTGGATTTTCCCTGTCTTCCCTTTCTCTGTGGTGTTCAGCCTGCTGGGGCCCTGCAGCAGAGAAGAAGAGTGAGAGGTTGTTGCTGCCAGGTCACATTTCTGTTCAGAACTCACCAATCTTGCTCCAGGCACAAATTCAGCCTTGCCCAGGTGGGTTGGCTCAGCAACATCAGCAGGAGCCCTGAGGGCAGAAGGGAAGAACCTCATCCCCAGCAGCCAGCATCTATGGGGGCAGAGCTTGGAGTGGGAACTAGCAGATTCTCTACCCTCCATCACCCACACATGGTCCCCTGGGACATCCAGAGGGGAGGAGGAAGGGCACAGCAGGGCACACCAAGCCCTGGGGCAGGAGCTGAAGGACGCTTGGAAGGTGTGGAGCCTTCCAAGCAAGGGAGAGGGAGGGGCACATCTCACCGCTGTGGGGGAGAAGGTGATGAGGACATCACGGGTGACAGCCCTGCTGACATTCAGGAGCAGCGTCTTGAGCCCCGCCAGCCCCGACTGCAGCAGCCTGTGGGACAGGGGGGCAGTGGGACAGACGGACATGGGGACTGAGCCCACAAACCCTGTCACGGCCACCCCTGCCGCTACCTGAACCAGCGCTCCCTCAGGCAGGCACAGGCGCGGCTCTCAGAGTGCCACAGCTCCGGGCAGTGCTGGGACAAGTGGGGGATGCGGGTGCTGGTGCCTGGCTGCTCCTCCATCGTCTTGCAGCACTCACGGTGCTCATCACCCCGATCCAGGTCTGAGGAGGGTGGGAGCAGCTGACCACTGTGCACCACAGCACTGGGTGGGCACTGGGAGCAATGGGAAGGGACCACTCACTGGAACAGCTGTCCTTTCCTCTGGCAACATCTGGAAGAGGAGTACACGGAGAAAGGGGGGAAACACAAACCTCTAGGGTCAGCTCTCCCTCTATCCAGAGGGAAAGGGGAAGAGAAGGCAGGAGAGTCTGGCAGGTTTTAAAGGAACAATCCTGCAGTTATGTGGGTTTCAAAAACACCTGGACAGCGATCGGAGCTGGTGAGAGCAAAGCCACTGTCCAGCCTGCCAGAGGGGCTCACAAAGGAGAGACACCCTGGGCTGCTGACCCCAGCTTTTAAAAGAGCCCCCAGCAACAAAGCCCCCAACTCTGCTCACCTCTGCACATCCCACCTGGGATTCTCCCCTTTGGCCTGTCCACATTCCAGGATGAAATCCCCACATGGTCTTTTGGTGAGCGCCTTCCCATGGCAAAACCTTCCCACAAAGCCCATGCACCCCCTGTGCTAAGGATGCCTGTCCCCCTTCACCTGCCACTCACCAGGCAGCAGCAGGAGCAGCAGGACAGTGCCCAGGAACAAGATCATGCTGCTTTGTGGGGTCTCCATCCCACCACACTCTGCTCCCCTTGTCCCGGCAGCTCTGCTCCTCCCCAGGCTCCCCCAGGGCTTGTGGCCACTTTTGAGGCAAGAGCAGTTCCTCATTTCCCTTCTGGGAACCCCTCACGCTTTCCTGTGGGCTGGCAAGTGACCTCCTGTCCCAGCTCACAGCAACGGCAGCAACCGCCGGAGCCGCGGCGTCTCCCCCGTGGCTCCGTCCCGTGACCGACTCAGGGCTCTTTGCTTTCCCTTTCTTCCCACAGTCCTGCCAAGGGGTTGATGGCCCTAACCAGCCCAGCTGGAGCATCCACATCCTCAACTGGGCATCACCACAAGCCGCCAGGGTGGAACATCCCCTTCCAGGCAAGGTGCCCCTGCCTCAGTGGGTGCTGGAAGCTGGGCGGAGAGGGATGATCCTCAGCCAGCTGGAAGGGGAATGCTGAGATGGGAAATGTGGTGCTGTTTGCAAGAGGCACAGCCAGGACTGCCTGATTCTGCTTGCCCCCACAGCCACTGAGGGGATGATTCCCATCCTTTGATGTCTCCCTCTTTGGATGCCTGTCCTCCACTAGCCTGCCTTTCTGCTGGGTAGTGACAGTCCCCAGAGACTTCCCAAGCCATGGCATCTCCCTCCACATCCCCAGCCCCAATGGCACCAGGCAGCCAGTGCTCTGCCAGGAGCACCATTATTGGTCCCAGCTCAGCAGGATCCTATAGGGTGAAAGGCTGGGCCCTGCCCCAGAAATGGGATAACCCAGATGAGAGATGGATCCCATTGGAGAGCCCACCAACACACCGAGCAGAGACCCCAGAGAGCCACACTCCGAGAGGAACAACTTTAATGGGCACAAGTCTGGTGTGTAGGCATGCTCACTGAACTCCTACATCACCCAAAAATAGACATTCAACAAAATAACAAAAATAGATTATTTCAGCTGCCTGAGGGTGTGGCGGGGGCAGAATCATTCTGTCTTCCCTGGGGAAGGACCCTCATGGTAACCACCAACAAGGGCTGAAAACTGGGCCTTTCCCACCCATCATCCCTGGCCTCAGGATGTGGGAAGGGACATCCAAAGGCACTGGGGACCCTGTCCCTGCCCCTTCCACTTATTACAGCCCCCACTGCCCAAGTAAGCATCCCTCCCTCCCTCCTGCCCCAAGGGTGCCAAGCCAGTCAGGATGGAGTGGGTGGGAAAATTGGGGAGGGGGCCAGCAGAGGTGGGGGTGGCCAGCCTCTCTGTGGGTCCCTGGGCTCCTCGTGGCGCTACGGGGCAAGTGCAGTAGCAAAGCAGATGGTGTGGTCCTTGTGGCCGTCCTTGGCGTGGCAGCTCTGGCACGGCACAGCCACCACAGGGCTCAGCTGCTGCTGGGCTGCAACTTGGCACTGTCAGAGCTGCTCTGAGAGTCAGGAGCCTTCCTCGCCTGCAGCACCATGGTCCAGTACCAGAGGAAGATGAGGAAACCTGGCAGAGGGGAGAGGAAGCATGGGTGGAGGCACAAACAGCAGTTGAGAGCGAGACACCCAGCCTGCCAGAGCTCCTCTTGCACACCATCACCACCCCACCAACACCCCGTGAAAATACTGGTGCCCTTTAGAGGAGCCCAGAATCACAGGCTCACCTTGGAGGGAGTTGATGATGGTGAAGATGTAGAGGGAGACAAGGCAGAACACACCAGAGGTGAAGGAGAAGAAGATCAGTGCCCAGGGGATGCCCAGCAGGATGCTCAGCCCGAAGAGGGCCAGGACATGCTTGAGCTTGTGACCTTTCTTGTTCTGCCGGACGATCTCCCGTACCATGGCCCCCAGCATGACCGAGTTAAAGAGGAACACCAGGCTGAAGAAACCCAGGTTCACGATGTTATGGATCAGGGGGTTTGTGATCCAGCATCTGGAGGGAGGAGAAAGGGCAGAGGGTTTCACTGTGTCCTCCCACAGGGTCACGAGGAGGGGCTGGGAGAAGCACAGAAGTGTGGTGCCAGCCCAGCACCCAGGGAGGGGGGATCCCCCTGGCACAAAAGCCCAGAAAAGCCACAGGCCACGGTGAAGGTTTAGCCAGCTGACTTTACCTACAGAGAGCAGGTAACCCACCTCCCATGACTTACATGGTGGCGTTGGTGGATCTGCCATCAACGGATTCATAGATGGGAATGGAGAAGGGGCCGTAGTTCGTCCAGCTAGCCAGGAAGATTATCATCACACAGGAGAAGGGGACTCCTGGGTGGAAAGAGCAGAGTGAAGTGGCTGCCCTACTCCCTGGCCTTGGGACCTTCTGGAAGGACTTGTTGCTCCTTTCTTCCTGCACAGAGCACAAGCTCCTACAGGGAAACAAACTCCCACAAGCTCCCACCTCCCTCCCACAGGGAAACCAAGGATGGAACACACAACAAGGGCACCTGGCATAAGCCCCAGCCTGGGAGGGATCTGTGCTGTGCTGACCCCAGCTGGGGACCTCCCTGGGATGTGGAGCTTTAGGCCATAAAAGACCTAAGATCTTCCAGTCATGAGCTCCAGCCCGGAGCACAGTAGAGAAGCATGGGTGCTTCCTGCATCCAGCCCATCTCTCTGGGTTGTCCTGAATGTTTCTTTCAGAAAAGAAGGATCCTATTACTATTTAAAGATCCCACGTGGTGGCTGTCACAGGCCTCCATTGCTGGGTGATCCCCCAGGATGACCCACCCTTGCTTTAGCACCAGCCGCTGTTCTCAGCCTTCAAGTCTCCTTCTCCACCAAGGCTCTTGACAGACAGCTGCTCCCCCACAGCTACATCTCCATCCCCATCCAGGGATCATATCCAGTGGGAAAATCCTCCCCGAGAGCCCTTCCACCCCGTGGTGCCCTCAGGGTGTCTCTGCCTCCCCCATGCTCACCCCAGCCAACCAGGAAGAGCTTGAGGAGGAAGTGGTCATGGTAGGCGTTGAAGACTTCGATCACAAGCCGGTAGAGGTTGTAGCCCTCAATGCCCATCCAGGTGAGGCAGCTCAGGAGTGAAAAGTGCAGAAAAAACCCCCCGACTCTGCAGACAACCTCGCTGCTGCTGGCAGCCAAGTGCTCGGAGATGAGGAAGGTGACATCCAGGAGGAAGATGGCAAACAGCAGGTTCATGTGGATGTGCATGCTCGTGATCTGGTCTCGCTGTTTGCTTCTGGAGAATCAACGGGAGCAGAACTCACCACCCTGCCTGGCCAGCACCAGTGGTGCCCACAGCACCCCACAGCCCTGCAGGGGGCAACTTGCCCCAGCAGAAGAGCAAGGACTCTCTTTGGTAGTGCCAGGGACTGAGAGACCAAGCCCAGAGGTGGGACCACCCATCCCACATGCAAATCCAGCCCCCTGCAGCTGACCCTGCATTGAAGGTGCTCAGAGGGCTGAAGCACTTTTCTTATGGAGACAGGCTGAGTGACCTGGGGTTGTGCAGCCTGGAGAAGGCCCCAGGGAGAACTTAAAGCACCTTTTGCCCACCCAGGTTTTCATGGCCAGGGGCAGGACACAGACAGGGAGTGTGGGGTGAACCACCAGACTGTACCTGAAGTAGAGGAAGAAAATGGTGCAAATGGATGCCAAAGCTGAGATCAGGCAGCCAGCGTAGGTTATGATACTCAGGTAATTCCTGTGCACAGAGGTGATGTCTGGAGAGGATACCTGAGGAAGAGGAGGAATGAGAGCTGGTGAGGAAGAGCACCACAGGGAATTCTGTGAGGGATCCGAGGGAAGGTGCTACCCACCATGAGCACAGCAAAGTAGGTGAGGTGGTTGCACCTGCACTCTGTCTGGCTGCTCCCTGTCACGGTTGTACACCCATAGCTGTCCCAGCTCCCAGAACTGGCTGTGCAAGAGAAAGGGAAAGAGTCTGGTGAGCAGCAGGAACATGGGCTGAAGGATCTTCAGGGCAAGGTGTCCATGGAAAGAGGGGGAACAAGAGTGGGGTGTCCCACCTTGTCCCAGGCCAAGCACCCATACTCAAACAACCCCCTCAGCACAAGAACCCACCCCTAAGGAAAGGGAAAGCTCTTAGGTTAGCTATGGAGGGAAAAATCTGGCATCAGCCCTGTGGGAATGGCTTATGGAGATAGAGGGAGGTGCAGAGCAACCTTCACCCTGCTGGAGGGGCTGTGGTACCTTGGAAAAAGGGCCTGGCCTTGCACCCAAGGGCAGGGGCACTCACCAGAGGTGTCCTCCTGCCAGAAGACGCACAGTGGGGTTACGTTCCTCTGCAATGACAAAAACACAGGCCCTGGTCAGAATGCAGCTGTGGGTTTGTTGCCTGCCCAGCACTTCTGATAGGGGACAACACAGGGCAGGAGACAAGATGGGCTCAGGAGGCAAACTATGACTTGGATAAACCAGACTCCCCCTATGATGGGAGTGAGCTCCAGGCAGAGGCCACTCTGTTAACAACTGATGGAGCAGATACCTCCTTCCAGATCCTCTTTTCCAAACAAAGGGTTTAGCTTTGAGCAGGCACCTGACAGAGCCGTGAATGAGCCAAGGGCCTGACAACACAGGGTGTACCCCATCCCTGCTGACTGCTGGATGTGACACATCTGCTGTGAGGCATCTCCTGGAGAGGGGAAGGCAATGCCATCACCAGTGCACACAGTGAAGCCATGATTGTGATAC